GAAAGTTGAAACTTAAGCTAGTCGAATTAAAAAGATCGAACGTATCAGACGCACTTGGAGTCATACCGTCTAGTTAGTCGGAAGCAGAAGCGTGAATAAAATAATGGTAATATTATGAATTTGAACACCTATTTTTTTAAGGGGGGAACGTCATCGAATGACTGCTCCCGCCTGGGTGAGGCGGGAGGGAGTGTCAGACTCTTACCTACTGACTAAAAACCGCTCCGTTCCTTCTCCTGCACGTCGAGCCGGAGTCCCGGTTACCCGTTAGGTTCTCCGCGACACACTGATACCTATAGCAACTTATTTTCAATTATGTTAATAAAATTAATCGAGATCCCATTCATTCATTCATTCATTCCCATCCTTTACACAGGACCCATACCTGAAAACACTTCATTCGAAGCAGAAATTGATGTAATGAAAGAACATGAATTGTGAATGATTTGCTACATATTAATATTCAAAGGTATCAGTGAATTGCGTGCACTTACTATACAGTTTATGTTTGTATTGAGCCGGCGTCTAGACGCGGGGGCGGACGTGCGCAGAGGTTAGATAGGTACGACTCAGGCCCTTTCCTTTCACGACCCTTCAGTGCCGCTGTATGCGGAATTAGGTCACACACACAAACCTACATTTTTACCACAGTAACAAGCGTAAGATTTTCAATTTGTCAAGCGAGATTATCTAAATATATCAATTTCTTCGAAATACGTAACAAACTTTCGTTCGTTTCTTCGATTTATTAGAAATAATAAATTTATCTCGAAGTAAATATATATACAGAGAAAATAAATATGCATAACGATAGCACAATAACAATAAACCCAGTGGGTAAAGATAAGTAGTACAATGAACAGACATCGTCTGACTCGCCCGGAGTCTGACCCGGCGACGGCACAGACGGTAGTTTCCGTTTACGATTTTACTGAGTTTTGAAATAAAGCCTGAATAATACTGCTATAGGTCAGTCCCATTGACTTGTTTTCGATATCAGTGCAATAAAAGTGTCGTATATGTGTCTAGCTTTTATCAGCTGACCTATTCACAAGTATTGAACGAAATAATACTTATAATTCTGCTAATATAAATAGCAGTTGAACATTTCTTCCGAATGAATAACCGCGACTTCTTGAAACAACCAAATTTAAAAATCATCAATCAGACCTACTTCCTAGTATTATAAAGTTCACCTTAGTTGAATCATTTCGATTCCATAGATACGAACGTGGTTTATTGATTCGATAACCTTAGTTTTAATTCTGATTCATAAATAAATAATTTATATACAGTCAATAAATGTTTTGTCTAGCCAGATTTACGTGTAAAATTGTCTGCCTACACGAACACATACAACGAGACGCTCGCTCACTGAAAAATACGTGCAGATATCTAAAGTGTGCGTATAGGTCGAAATGTGTTACTAATAGCGTCTAGACTTCGTTTAACACGAGCTTGATTCAGTAGATATTAACACAGTATCTATGTACTTATACTTACATAGTGTTAACTTTCATTGAAGGTCGCTCAGGTCAACCCGCAAAATCTGTTTTCAAACCATTTCTATGTAATGTTCTGTTTATAATTTTAGACCCGATATCGTTTTAATTTTCTTGTAGATACGTATCTAAGCGTCTGGTATCGAAATTAGAAAATTCTTCGGATTACAAATAAGAAATTTCTTTTGAAAAAATATTTAATAGCTACAAGAAAAATGTATTGGTCTTTAACTAGTAGGAGTAGGTTTTTACAGAATCTGATAGCAATCCATTGATAGAGCTTCTTTATCGAGAAGATTTTAAAATAAATTTGATGTACCTAAATAATTTTCATATAATAGCTTTCGTTAGGTGTATAAATTATTCCAAATTATAGTCATCTACCTTCGATTTATTTTGGGGAAATTTAAGATCTGATGGCTTTTAAAGACATAGGTAGTTATAAATTGATCTAAGGGTCCTAGGGGTTTTTAACTGAATTGTTTGTTTCACGAAGTACCTAGGTTACTTAGATTTGGTGTGATTATTTTAGAAAGTAAATGGGAATTTTATATACTTATCTTAGTAGGTAGAAACTTTCCAAGATAATCCTGTAACGAAATGCCAGTGTAACAAACTTGGATATTAACTCGTCGAGTACCGGTTTTGTAGACACAATTATAGAACAATAGGTTGCGGTCACCGGTGACCGCTTGGTGTTTGACAGTTTAATTAAAAAAATAGACTTAATTTTATTAGTAGGTACGTAGTCTGTGTGTGTGATATGTATTTTACCATTATGAAAAGAACAGATTAAGTATGAGTGACTGATAATAAGTTGTTCAGAACGGACGATAAGACGACCATTGTGTCAAACGTCTAGACTTTGTGAAGTACTACTACACGCAACAAGTCTACGACATTTACTACATAACTGAGATAACTAGGTATACGCACCTATTGTACGCTTGTATAAGTATTTATCTGAAGTTTCTCATTGTTATAGCCTGGGAAACTTTCAGAAAAGGAAATTATTCTTGGAGCTAACAATTGCTGCACGACCTCTAATGAACCGCTAAAAAGTTTAAGTAACTATAATAGGTAAACGTAAAGTTTTAAATGACATTACATAAACATATCATTATTAGCTGCGCAACCAGAATTCTTTCTTTTTTTTATGGTATAAGCCGGTAAACGAGCAGACGAATCACCTGATGATAAGCAATCGGCGTCGCCCGTGGACACCTGGAATACCAGAAGCGTTACAAGTGCGTTACCGGCCTTTTGGGGATTAGTGAGGATCGTTGGGGATTCAGGGATTGGGGAGATTGGGGAAGGGGAGAGTAATTGGGCCTCCGGTAACCTCACTCACTCGACGAAACACAACGCAAGCGTTGCTTCACGTCCGTTTTCTATGAGGCCGTGGTATCACTCCGGTCGAGCTGGCCCATTCGTGCCGAAGCATGGCTCTCCCACACTTTAACGACCTTCTGATTCCGACTTTTTGATTAGACGACCAAATAATGCTTAATTAATTATGTCCATCCACGTCGACTGCGAGCATTCTGAAAAGTAAAAAAATAATGCAAAGAGCCCTGCGCAGCTATGCCTTAGACTTTGTTTACTTTTTTGAAGAAAACACTGCGAATGAAGTATAAGTCGTTGGGAGTGCAAACTGTCTGCCCTTCCGTCGCCCTTTGTCTGTCTGTCTAGGCTATCACGATATTCTAGGTATACTCACACTTGCACACCGTTACACGGACCTTTTCAGTCTACAAACACACTGAACTAAATATTTTAAACACACTTGCGAATCCATAACGTGGATACATAATGCGTCACGTACCGGAGTGCGTGACGCATATTTTTTATCGTGACGACAACAGGTATAACGTAGTATAAATATGTATTTACATTTGATACCATGTAAGTAGGTAGGTAAGTTAATTTCTATGTACACCTGATGAGGGAAGGTTACAACAGCTAACCTATGTCTGCCTACAAACCACTTAGCTTACCCATCACATTACTTACCACCAAATTATTTGCCTAGCACTAAACATTTCCTGTAACGTATAACTGACACATTACAGATGTTAGTTGTTTGGTAAGTGTAACTTAGGTAACACAATTTAAATAAACAAACTGCCCAAAAGTAAATAGAACCCACACACTGTGTGACTAATTTTAATAAATTATCCTTAGGAAAGGACGTATAAATTAAAGTCGAACCAGCATAATAATCAGGTTACTAAGTTTTAGTTTAGGACGCCGTAGGTCACATCTTTTGACCTTTTCGAATAAAGCTAGCTTTTCCATTCGCGTAAATACCGAAGGTAAATAAAAGTTATATGCTTGAGAAAGTTTATAGGCTGTCTGGTCTAGACGTCCCAACTGACATCGTGTCGCTTGACACAACACAGAACACGTCGGTAACAAAACTTTGAATTTGTAATTGACGTTGCTCTTACGAAATAAAGTACCGGAGACATCCCTATTTACAGTTTAATGAATATGAAATGGAAATGTACAGTGAACGACCGAGATAAGTAACGAGGTCGATGTTAGTTTAGGTACTATTGAAGTTTTCTTAGAATGAACTAAAATAAATATTCTCGTACGAAATTTGTCTTAGGGGATTACCTATTTTGTATCAATTAAATTAAATAAGTTCATTCCAATAAATACGTGGAAGTTCGTTCTAAGAAAATTTGATACCTACATACCTAAAATCGACTGTACTGACGGTAGGTACTTAGTTTAAGAGACCTAGGTAACTACTGCTCTAAAATTCAAGGAATACAATCTACAAGTAAAGCGAAAGTTCAACAAATCAAACTTAGGAAAACTTCATTTTTAGAACACTACAATTGTTCCCTCTGTTTATTTGATTTCTAGGAAATACGTAATTGAAAGAACTACTTAGGTTTTGAATAGCCTAACAACCTATGACATGTTTTCTAGTATTATTTCTAGAATTAAGACTGATCTTTTAAAATAATCTCAAACACTAAGTAACTAAATGAGCGTTTACCACAAATGTGCATTCTCGTAATTACCTACGTAGATAACTTTAATTAGAGAAAAGAAAAGACATGTTTCTTATACTAAATATATTGAGTTGGTTTTGTGTACATTCCTGGTTGCCAACGATGTAAACAATACGTAGCTACATTATGTAGGTAGTTTTAGCCTATAGGTAGATAGGAACTAAAACTTGCTAGCTAACCGACTATAAACAAACGTCAAAGTCTTAAATAGCAAACAGTTACCTAACTTAATGTTTCTGATTGCATGACATCAAAGGATTGAATAAACTTCCTTCACCGTGACTTTTGATTGTTAAATTAGTATTAATAATTCCTTTTTATTGCTTGATCGATTTCATTCATCACCCAAGCAACATTCTGCATGAGGAAATAAGAAGGGTCGGAAATATCTAGTAGTTTCGAATGCTTGGTAGAATACAGTTTAGTTCTGCAGCTGTTAGGTTACTCTACACAACAAAAACTATTGAAAATGGAAGCTGCAGCACCAGCGCCGGTTAATATAGGCGGGCGCCGCGAGCCTTCTACTGATCCCGTTAAAGCCCAGGGCATATTGTAAGTGTTCCTTTGTTTAAAATGTATGTAGGAATTAAAGTAGATACTACTTTAATTCCTACTTTTAGTTAGGTACACCTTCTGTATCTATATTGAAGGAGAGTCTTTCCCATCATTTTAAATTCAGTTTTACTAGTTTCCATCCAAGTACGCTCGTAAGTCGGTAGGTACATACCTATGCACGTTATGGTAGCTTTTCCAACCAACAGACAAACGGCGCTATGGACTAAGCAGCAGTCATCTAAATAATTAGGATACCTAACTAAATAGGTACTTGTTTCAGGAACTCGGTGATGAAAAAATCAAAGTCTGCAGCGAAGCTCTGGCCGCAACGTTGGTATTTTTATAGCAAAATTAGAGAAATACAAGAAGAGGAAGCTCAGAAAGTAGGTGAGTTTATTAGGATACTTTTAGGACTTTAATTTCCGACATAAAATCTTGGTATCACATTTACTATTGTTCATTAGTGAAAAAACATTTAGGTACCTACGCATAGGTAATAAACGTAAGATGTGCCTACTTATAATAGGTACCTGTGCTCTGTAACTTTTAATACCATCTACTTCATAGTGGTATTTGGAGTGATTGGAGTTTTTTAAACTAATTTATAAAAACCTCTTACTAGGCATGACCGTGGAAGAATATCGGGCGGCCCTGCAGTCACATAGCAGTCAACTCGAGCCCAAGCAGTATCCTGTTACTGTGGATCCGTCTCCTCACCCACTACCACCCACATCGGCAGGTACCTAAAGTTTTCAGCAGTAGGGACAATGTAATATTATAATCCGTAGTCTAACAATTATGTAGGTATCTCGATTACCAAGGTGTCTAATTCTAATTGTTTTTAGAATTTATTCAAATTCTAATTCAAAATTTTATTGCATTAGGTACCTATATATCATGTGTACAATAGGTGTTACATAATTGGGTACAGTTTCAACATGAAATCCGGTTAGGGCACCGCATATAGACCGAAATATAATCTAAGTAATTAAATTCCTTATAATATTATTAGATAAAAAAGTTAAGTATTATTTTCAACCTAAATAATTAAAAATTTTCCTTAATTTTATTAGACAGATTTATAAAGAACTTAGAGAATTATATTACTTTATGGAGACCCACAACATAATTATGCAATAGCGTAACTTTTAGCTAGTAAGCACAAAATAGGTAGTAAGCTAAAAGCCACTAATGAAAGTGGAACGTAAGTGAAACTGTAATCAGAGCTACAACAGTATAAATATTTTACCAACTTATTTTAAAGCTGTTATTTTACTTATAACCATCATAAAAACAAAGTTCGCCTTTTGAAGTCCTCACAAGGTGACCTCAACAAGAATAACATCTTAAAACCCGAGCAACTACTTACTAGATATCTTGAAAAAATAATAAGTTAAAAGTCCATATAAATTCTAAAGCGTCTACAAGTTATTTTAAAAAAGAAAAAATAGGTAAGATCTTTTCAATTGAAATATTTTTATTAAGCTTAGTAGGTACAACAGTTTAAAAAGTTCTTTTTTCCAGCCATGATAGGGCGTCGCGCGCAATGTCCTTTGGAGCGTTTCGGTCGTCTAGTGAAAACCGACCGAGATTATCCTCTCCGCCCACCATTAAGACCCGGACAAATTTACGACCCTTACAAGCAGACAGTTGTATTCTTAGGGTACGTATATATCTATATATTCACCGTGTTCTAACGGCTATGAGGCTAAACTGGAAAGCTCGTAAATAACACTGAGTGTATCACTGTGTTTTCAGGTTTAGTGGTTTGTGTTACTTTTTGTAATAAATAGGTACCTTTGTTTACCTAAGCAGTACGTAAACTTAGATATATTTAGATATTTGCGGTAGCCTTTACATATTATCTAATCAATATCTAAGAGGTAAGCACCTATCTTAAATCTTTGTTATACGTATTATATACCTATACTGAGTTATTTATGTACTTGAACAAAAAAGCGCATGGCCTCGCGCTTAAAGTATTCTACATATTTTTAAACAGGTGGGTACTTTTCCTGTGAGCCTAACATTACGATAAATTAAAGGTGAATACCCCGATATCCCAATTTGATATGTTTTTTTTTTTCAGAAGTGTCGATGGGGACCCGATTTCGTACAAACTGCCACCGTCACGTTGTGAGATGACAGATGAAATGTGGGCGCGTCCGCAACAGCTGACCGTGTCGCCCCTCGGCTGGGACAACTTACAGAGAATTATGAATGAGACTGAATAATTTATTATAACAAAACGACAACTTTACCAACTAAATATCTTTTTAAAACTTTCTACTTTTTATGCTATTAAGTACAAATATTAAACATCTCATCACTTCGCTACTACAGCAGGTATAATTCTCACAATGCCTTCTTCCGCACTTTTGTACACGAATGGTCAAATCTATTATCCTTCCAATACATTACCTATAATTACGATATAAACATGTTTTGCTCTATTTCACTTTAATAACTATTTTTTTCTCTAAAATACCAATGTACTAGAAGTGCAGTGCAGTAATAAGTTCCTAAAGTGTATGGCAGATGGTGCTAGCATCGTTAGAAGTGAGAAAATAATAAAAATCACATGAGACTTGAATGGAATTAAAAAAACCGTTCAATATTGCTCTTTAGATAAAATTAAAAGATCCCCCAACAATGCTATAAAGCGGAGGGTAAAATGGAATTGATAACAGATAAGGCATTTTCTTCTTATAACCTTTGTGAACAATTTTCAAATAAATACAAATATCTACAATTTTATATGTCATTTATTACTTAAATTATATATGTCCATGTCTCTTGGTGGCAGCGATAGGCGGCAGCTGCGATACTATATTTTCTGGTAACACTTCCAATGTGACGGCCTCGTCCTTGTCTAGCCAGTGGAAACCCGCCAGGTACTAGAAAAAGAGGAAGGTAAAGCAGTTGATACTCCATGCAATAAGTTTTAATGAATAATGAACTTTATTCCCTAAAAATAACGATCATATTTGAGATCTAATACCTACGTAAATTTTATAACATTCAATTCGAATAGTCGTTACAGATTTTCTGATATAGCGCAATAATTTCCCATGTATGTATGGGCTGAATGTTTATAGAGGGAAATCGTAAAACTTTAGGTACTGTACTGTTTTCATAGCTAGCGTGCCAATTTGTACTTAAAAGCTTTCATTCACGATACTCCAGTACCTACTACAGCATGATATTTTGTAACAGCCATTAAAAAAGTTATTACATAACAGTAAAACTTAGTTATCTTCGAGGAAAAAACCTTTAATGTTTAAATTAATTAATTTACAACATGCTCAATAAGTTGAAATAAGGGAATATTCTCACCTTAATCGGTACGATTCTAAGTCCAACATTCTTGCTGCCAGGTTTCGATTTTCTTTTAGCCACTGGTTCTACTGCGTCCTGCAAATAAAACAATATAATTACATGAGATGTGTCACTTAAAGTAAAGCAATAAAGTTATTAAACAAAAATACTTTATAAATTACATTACAATTAATAAATTCATCCTTTTCAGACATTGATAAAAGCGTAATTACATAATTATGCACTATCCTTTATTTTTTCTCTTATGTCATTCGCTGTAGTTTTTGAAATAGTTAAACAGAATTAATTACAGAATTAATCATCTTCTAATTCTTCTATCTTCAAACGAATTTTCAACATTAAACTGTCAAACACCAAGCGGTCACCGGTGACCGCAACCTATTGTTCTATAATTGTGTCTATAATGACGGTACTCGACGAGTTAATAATAAATTACCTGTGCACTTCTATCCATAACCCATAGTGACGTTTCATCTTGGAACAATACAGAGTTGCGCGTTGGATGCACACTGATAGATGACACGACTGACTTGCGCGAGTACCACTCTGGAGGCAGCGCCGCACCCGGCCATGACGTGAACCGCTTCTCTTGCAACTCGTATTCTACAATCTGTGAGAATTACATATTGTATTATTAGTTTTATAATCTTTTTAAGCATGAGGATCTTCTCATATGTCGTAAATGTGTCACAAGTGTGATATAATGATAAAAATAAATATCTACTGCAGAGTTCAGCAGATTACAAATGCAATAATTAATTCTTACCTTTTGATCAACATAAGTCACAATGAGGTATTCTCTTTGACTGTCGACGGTAAGGGCTGAAGGCAAGCAATGATACTGAGGTAAACTGACATAGAACTCAAATTTCTTCGCGTTTTGTGTCCAAACAGAGATACAACCCACTGTATCCGCTACAACTAAGTATGTGACACCCTTTGGACTTTTCTTGGAAACATACAGGTGTAATATTGACTTTGCTTGAAGATCTGCAAAAACATAAGAATTATAGTAGAATTAAATCAGGCAAGTTTATTGAGGTACTTAATTTTTTACAGAACTCAATATTTTTGCTAGCTGTACTATACAGGGTTACAAGTTAAAAGCTCAAGCACACAGGATGCATGTGCATTAGTTAGTGTGTGCGTGCAATTATTGTAGACGTGCGTTGAGTTATTGTATGGACCCATGGACCGGTATGTTGACACGTTACGCAAGGTGTGCCCTGTCCCATATATTTTATCTCAGTGATACGTCCAAGTTCACGCACGTATCCGATCTGCTGAGTCTTAAGTCGAATTATGATCTTATAATAGGTTACAGTAGATATTATTTAGGTCTTATTTAAGGTGTGAGACTCTTTTTAAAATTTCTAAGTTACATTTAAGTCAGGTAGGTACACAAATACATAAATACACAATCATAACACTTACGTTTTTCCAGATTTATGGTCTGAACAGGTGTTGCCCCAGCTTCTAGATCTACTTGTAACACATGCAGTTTGCCTGCTATGTGAACCACCATTGTATTCGAGTCTTCTGTGAACGCCACGCAGTCACATCCACCTTCAGGCAAACCATTGATCAACAATTTCGACAAAGATATGTTTGATTGTTCTTCGTCTTCCTGTAAATAACAAAAAGTAATGTAATATTTTCCACTTTCTACAAATTGTATGAAAGAGATGATAAATTAGGAAGAGTTAAAATATGAATGCTCATTGAATGAGAATAAAAATAAGACTGAAATATTATATCATAAGTTATGGTCCATATCATTACATTGTTATTGTAAGACAAATAAGTTTGCATACTTACAGCATCCAATTTAAGCATTCTAATGTTGGTAGCTGTTGAATATACAACTAGTTCCCCACTGGGTGATAAGGCACAGCACTGAATCTGTTTCTTCCCTTTACTTTGTACACACACTAACTTCGTGGGCTTTCCAGTAAGTTTTAAAGTTTGTTTCTGTGTATTTTCAGCCTTTGCTTTACTTATGACATCAATGGTTGAATCTTGCTCTAAATCATTGTTTTCTGTCTGACTGTTGTCTAGTGTAGTGTTGACATTACTTATTAATACATTGCCATCGTTATTTGTTGCATATGACCCTAGTTTCCACACCTCTAAGTGGTTGCTGTATCTGCAAAATAAAAAGGACCATTTAGAAAATGTTCTCAATATTTTTTGTTGACTGTAATAGAAAAAGCAATTACCTTAAAAGTAATAATTTCTTCTGAATGCATATTGATGATCTCGGTATAGGTATCATGGGTGGTAACCTCATCACCCACTTTGGAGGATAGCTGGAGAATGTGAGATACCCATCAACACCAACTGATATTAATTTCTCGCCATGAATGACGAGTCCTCTGGAAAAAGTTATCATAGTTTTAAATTAGCCTTAACCCGTATATCCTCAAGCAGTCACCGGTGACCACTCACCACTAACTACATTATAGACCTTATGTCCAATGTTTAGAGACTACTTTTGAATGAACAAATTTAGGAGATAATTTTCAATAATTTTTAATAACACATTGAAAATTGTTGAAAATTATTAAATTAACCTATGAAAGATTGTGTAGAAATGTTTAATTATATAAGGTTCATATTATGAGTAGCAATTCGCAGAATTGTATTTCATTGTAATGGCGTGACGGCAGCGGCTGTAGGTATCAAAGCTAACTCACAATTAGAATCTATTTGGATATCAAATATAGAATGTTGTTTGTTAAAATTGTATTCTATGGTAATTTAAAAAAAATGGCCATTTACATACTTAGAGTATCTTTATATCTGAAAGTATTAAGATAATTTCAGATATTAACTTGATTTGTATCAATAAATATTGAGACAAGGCATTCTCACCTGACATCATGTTCATGGATGTTCCTCTGTACATTCTTCACCCAGTGAGCTTCAGTCAGCTTGCCTGTGTTCTTATTGACTTTGATGAAATTCATTATGACCGGGTCCACTCCGCTGCAGAACAGACTCTTCTCATCATCAGACACAGCTATTGATAGTATATCTGCTTTGTGAGTTGAGTACGATTCAATCTAATTACAAAAACAAAGTATTTTTTTAATTTGTCAGATAAGTTATTAGAAAAATTTAAACTGAAAGCAAATTATTATTCTACTTCTTTAAATAAAATGAGGACATTTTTCTTTTATGGATAGTATTCAATACATGTTATAAGAAAATATTAACAGTAACTTAAAATACTTTGAAATTTGGTGTATCTTATAAATACATGACAACAATACTTTATTTATAGTAACTAATATCTATTTTTACCTGATCCCCAAGAGTGCCATCCCAAAATATAAGTCTACCCAGACTGTCTCCAGACACTATGGTGTTATCAGATAGTATATCTAGACACCATACTATGACTTCCCTACCTCTGCGACTCACAGACATGCGGGTTATTGCATGGCCAGTGTCCACATTCCACACTCTTATTGTGTTTATTGAACCTAGAAATAAATAGTAAAGTCATTTTTTCTTTAGTAGTCTAGGTTTCGTAAAATAGGTGATAATTATTATTAACCCGATATCAATTATTGTTTGTCGAATACATAGGTATTCCACAAATTATGTAACATAATGTAAACAATATATTATAATTATGCTTCTTAAAAAATATAGGTGGGTAGTTGGTGGGATGGTGGTTAATATTTGAAAGCAAGATTATAGCTTAACAAGAAATGCAAATAAATAATTTACCTGTTACCAATACATTCCCTGTATTGTTAAATTTACAACAAAGTATTCTGCCTTCTTGTTTATCAAACAATTTTCTGTATATTATTTCATCATTGTCCACATTATAGAGGTTCACATATCCTTGTTCAGTTCCAACGGCTACCAATGTATTATCAGGATTCACATCCAGACACCATGCTGCGTAACCGGTGAGTAAGACCGTTGTCTTCAAGCACAGTTTTTGTAAATCCCATTCTATTAAAGCTCCTCCAAGTCCGGTTGAAAGTAACCTATCGTTTACCCAGCCGAGTGCCTCTACCGACCCATTTTCCACGCCAGGAATGAATTTGACAAGATACGGAGCATAATTCAAGTCCCATATCTCAATGGAAGCATCGCCTCTGCAATGACAGTAAAAAAAATTAATAAAGTGCAATCAATAATTCAATAAAACCTATGTTTTTGTGAACCATACCTCGCTACGGCAATCTGTTTACTTGATTTATTAAATGAAACACAATTAATAGGTTGTGGTTTTGGATTATAATAGCGAACTCTGTGTACTTTGCACGCCATTACAATAGATATATAACTAAATAACGGCTAAAATCTTTTAATCACATGCGAGCAATAATATACTTGACGGAACACATAACCTCTAAATGCAAGCAAAACGTCAGTTTTCACGTTGATGGCCGATCTGACAAGTCGCGAACAACAACATTGATTTGACATCTTATGTCAAAAGCTGGCAGTAAAAAAAAGTTCTAAAAACGTCATGAGTGTTTACCATGGTGTTGACCATAGATGAATAATAGGCGTTGACCATTAATATGCTAATGTTGACTTATTTATTGACTGCCTCGTTGGCCGAGTGGTCGCAAGTGCGACTGCCGGGCAAGGGGTCTCGGGTTCGATTCCCGGGTCGGGCAAAGTACTACTGGGTTTTTATAAATTCTCAGTAGTAGCACGAAGTCTGGAATTGTGCCCGGTATATGGCAATAGGCTCACCCCCTATTACATGGGACTCATAACATAAATAGTGAAAAGTGGGTGTTACATTGTCCAGTGGCATAATGTACACCTCTGCCTACCCCTTCGGGAATAAAAGGCGTGATGTTATGTTATGACTTATTTATTTATTTATTTAATCCAATTACTTTGCGGTTGTCTTAGATAAAAAAGGGTGTGTTGACTATTAAAACATTTTGACTGTTGACTGTTAATAGAATAGAATAAGGGCAAAGAAACACTGATAATATTTTTTGGTTACCCTTTTAATCATTGAAAATACACAGCTATTTTATCCATAACATACAGAAAACATAATACATATCGACTATAAAAGTTTTTTCGAGTAATATTTTACAACAGCAATAAAAAAATCTTGTAGGTACCGAAGGTTAGAACCAGAAGCATTAATTAATCTAAGTGAGCACTTTTTGTACCCCCAGAAGTCTACTTTGAAACAAAACTAGCACTCGTTTTGGGCTTTTACATCATTTTAACAACAATAATGCCTAAAATATGACACAATCAAATAGTCATCATCTGTGAATGTGTAATAGTATCAATGACGTATGTTCTTGTCATAAATCCATGTATCCAAGTTCGGGGAAATGAAAAAAAAAGTAAAATCAAGTTTCGTAGGATTGCAGTGCGAGTACATATTTTCGTCAAAAATTGTGATTTAATTATTAGAAATTTGCATACTACATTATAAAAAACATAATTTTTATATAATGGGGGACGGACAAAGTGAAACCAAACCATTACTTAGAGATGGTAAGTATTTAATTACTTTTATTGTTTGACAGCTGATGATTCAACTATTACTTTTGTGATTTTTGTTGCTAAACAATGAAATGAGATGGTTCGAGCAGCCGCTACGCAGTCCATCGAAATGTTTGTGTTGTGTAACAGAATTTCCAGTTATTACATGATAGGTTACGAGTTTCCAACACGCAAATGTAATGTTTTTGTATGACAGAGGAGGTAAATGTCAGCACAATATCTCCAATTGGACCTGACGAGCTTCCTCCGCCGTACCAGCAAGCAGGAATGCCGATGGTAACATGTCGCGTGTGCCAGGCTATGATCGACATATCAGGGAAGAGAGAACAGCATGTTGTCAAATGTTCAGAATGCAATGAAGCCACGGTATGTATATATAATACTTACAATTTACATATACCTGAACTTTGTTACTTTCGAGTGATGTATTTTACCCCAAAATTAGTTTTTTATTATCAGCTTAAATTATTGATCATATCTTAACAACTTTCTACCTTATCAGCTTTATATGTTTTTGTTGCTAATCAGTTCACTGACTCGTAACACATAAAGAATGTACTGTTTTTTTATCATGGTAGTAGGTACTTTGATATGATGATTTGTTTGGTTTTCAGCCTATTAGGAATGCACCACCAGGCAAGAAATATGTGCGCTGTCCTTGCAACTGCTTGTTAATTTGCAAGTCATCGTCACAGCGCATTGCATGCCCTCGTGCAGACTGCAAGAGGATCATCAACTTGGCACCATCTCCTGTAACTCCTCCTGTTGCTACCTTGCCAGGAATGTGCAGGGTTATCTGTGCTCACTGTCAAGACACGTTTCTGGTAAATATTTTGAGTAATTACTTATTTATTATAATGGTGACAAGAAAATTATTTCAACTCCTTGTACTGTAACAGTTTTGTGAGAATTACACATTATGCATCAAATGCATGTAACCTCTATCAGACCTTGCATGTTGTTATGTTACTAGATAGTAAATAATATAATTAAATATTATGTTGCTGCTATTGTTGGTTACAATTGTAATGTTCTAATTAGAATCAAATAGGAAAATTTGATCTTCAATCAAGACTATTGATAAGGTATTGTACTTTAACAAAAAACATATTTCAGACTACCCTACATAAATATTATTCAATAAAGGAGGTGTTTTAGATATGAAATACTAATAATGTATTTAACTCGTTGAGAACCGTCATTATAGATACAAATAACCTTGTCGAGTACCGTCATTATAGACACAATTATAGAACAATATGTTGCGGTCACCGGTGACCGCTTGGTGTTTGACAGTTTAACACGTTAAACGCCATGGCAGTCACCGGTGACCGACATTAGCGGAGGATTTGCCTTCAACAGTTTTTTATTGGCAGTCAATGCCTTAAAGAACAATAGGTTGCGGTCACCGGTGACTGCTCGGTGTTTGACAGTTTAATCTCAATTGTCCCCACATCAATGCCCAGAATAGTCCATCACCCTTAATTCATTAAACAAATTTATTTGAAGGGAGAAATAATGATGAGTGAATAATATGCTACTTACTAAACAGTATCATCATCAGCTTATCTGTTTACAAGACACAGTTGTAAGTTTCATTTTATTCTCATTAGTCAATAAACAGCTTTTGTTATTGTACAAGTAAATAAGTAATGAGTCCATATTCAAATATTTAAACTATGATCTTGTTTGTAAACATTATAAAATTGATATACCTTTCTTTAATTTGTTTGAATAATATCGTACCCCCGGTGCTATACCGTCACTTATGTATTGCGGGGGCCCGCGCGCAACTGAACAATGAAACGTTGTTTTTCCTAGTGCCGTCCAGATTAGCGCCAAAACAGTAACGACAGTAATGCCCTCACAATGTCAGTTTGCTTACTACATAAATGACAATAACGCACCAAGTAAAGAGGTGAATTTGGAGTATTCTTTCATAATCAGTTAAGTTTTGACGAAAATTGCATAAGTGTCGATATTGCACCGTAGGTGCGATATGTAGACTTTATAATTATTATATTTTTTTATACATGGTATAATTTTGAATTTTTTATCAAAATAACATAGTAGGTAACTCAAATATCCACTTGACTGAATATAAACTAATTAATTCAGTAATTGATCCATTTTTAACCACATGTGGCAGGAACTTAATGTCCTTAGCACTCATATGGCATCACAAAATTGGTTTAGAAATATAAAACCGACATCCTTAACATGTTACCAAAAAGAGTTTCTGTGGTACCTTTACTTACATATTTGAATATATACGAGTATATAAGCTGTTTGATACTCATTATGGATTTGTCATGTTCCTGGTTTGATAATATGTTATCTGTATGACATATATTATTAACGAAACATAAAGGTCTTTTTACTTTGAGTGCAACACAGGTCATTGACTTAAGATAAAGTTTTAATAAATATTTATTGGATTGTTGGATCTTGCTTTTCCAGTATCAACTGCTGAAAGACGCTCCTGTGCGATGTCCTCACTGCCGTAAGGTGTCGTCGGTGGGCGCGCGCGTGGCTCGCAAGCGCGGAGCCATATTCGCGGTGCTGTCGCTGGTGTTTCTCGCTATCGCACTCGGCGTCACGCTGGGTACGCTCTCTGCTGCTAAGAGCCACGGAGGTGGCATATATGTGGCGTATGTTGGCGGCTTCCTCCTCGCTCTAATCCTGGGCAGTCGAGCTGTCTACTACTTTGCTATGAAAGTGAGTACTATTGAAGGCCCTATGTAAGTCGTCAAGTCACTTAATTTTGTGATAAAATTTGTATGACTCGAAAGTATATTATATAGAAAATTCTCAATTCCATATAGCATTGTTATAAGAGCTTGGTTTGCCAAGTATATTTAAAACATCTCAATGTAGAGCAGAGTTTGTTCTAATTGATGATTTGCTGATGTTGATATTATGTTTGATGTACCTAAAATAATCTTGAAAATTGTATAATGAAATCGAATAAAGTATAGGTAGGTTATGCTCTATTCTTGTAACAGTGGACAATGTCTTTGTATATACATATATAATTTATCTTATCAGGGACATATTTGACAAACAGTGTGTTATCTGGGATTCTATGTCAACTCTTCGTCATCACTTCCCAAATACTTGGGTAATATTGCTGGAATAAATAAACCTTACTCTGCTACGGAATCTCAAAGTTCATAGTTTCAGACCTGTCAGGTATGAACAGTTCTTTTGACAATTGCTTTTCAGTGTATGGCAATCATTGTTTATATCCACAGTCATGAGATTATTCTAATTTTTATTTAGTTTATGTTCAAAATTTAAAAAGGGTATTATTTATACAGGGTGATAATATTTCGCCTTCTAGGTTTATTATTTTGCAGATTCTTTATAATTGATATGATCGCAATTTTCAGCTTACAATACACATACATGTAGCAAATTGTAAATATTGTATTTCGAAAACATTCGACTTATAGTATACTTTAGAAATATGTCAGTATTTACATGTTCTAATAGGTAAATAATCAATCACAATATAGCTGAAATACTGCAGGTAATGCCTTGACTGTTTATGTAACATAGTTCAAGACTTGGTCTGTAGTTAACTTGTCACAATAATAAGTTAAAATATTCTCTAACTTTACACTAAATTATTGTCTTTGTATAAAATTAAATGAAGTAAGTGATGTACCTAAAATAAAGGTCATGAGTCAAAGAAACTCGTTTACGACATTTCCATACGTACTCATTTAAATGAGAAAAGATTTAAGATCGTTAGTGACTCAAGGCTTTGTACGACATTAAAAGTGTGTCATATAAACTAAATAAATATTATACTGTTGCCTACCTTATAATATTGTAGACTGACTTCATTGATATATAAATTAATAATTCTAAATACTAAATAGATATCGAGTATTGTCGTCACTCATTCATTATTCCTTACTGTCATTCCTTTGTGATGACGCAAGCCTGAATCTACCTGAGTAGTTCGTGGATCTCTACGATCTCATTCCAAAGATAAGAAGCACGAACATATTGAGGTCAATAAAGGCAAACTAATTAAAAAAAATCAATCTTCAATAATTGGTGCTGAATTTTATGAGTGGCGCGATTATAAGCCTTACATTTGCTACAGCACTCCCCTTGTTTATACATAATGTGTGCTTCAAATGGAAATGAAAGTAAATAAAGATTGTAGTGTAAGTGATTACAGCGACTACTCTATTCTTTGTTCTTATTTTAAGATGTTACAACAATATAACCACATTCACCACACAACCAAATTAAAAAAATACAATGTCTTATTAATTCATCAGGCGTGGTTAATACTGATCAGTACAGAATAAATCAACAATTATTGTACCTACTGTTTAGATTACTTATATAACAAGTTCGTGATTTTAAGGACAAAAAATTTAGATAACAAGTTAGCTACGCTTGTATATTGCTTGTGTTGAATGTTATATTTGTGTGGTAACGTGTTTATATTTTTGGGTAAATTAATAAAACGTTAATTCAACGCGATGAACAGGAAAGTCGGGTAATCGTTTACAAAGTGTAATATGACGTGCACAAGTATCTGTATCTATTGTTTAAAGTTTTGCATTCTATTCTTTGTTTTGTTATATTTTATTTAAACGTATATTATATGGAAGGTAGTGTGGGCTAGCAGTCAATGTTTGTGTTATTAATAATATATTGTATAGACTAATTATAATAATGGAACATTACGTGATTGAGTCCTAGATTATTTGCTTTTCAGTAAATAAATTAATAGTACCACCATATATTAATACCATATATAATTGATTATTAATTATTTCATGAAATGTTAGTGCTTTACACATGTATTTGTAGTTATAAGTCAAATAAATTGTACCAATCGACATCTCATTTGGTCTTCCTTTATAATGCTACACACCATAATGACACAGGTCGGGATTAACTAAAGGAAATCATTACGGAATAATGTATGTATTTTATTAATAATGTTAACAAAATAAATTTAAAATTGATAAATTACAGTAGGTAGGTATATTAAAGTAGGCGTATTTGCCAATATTAATATTGAGAACCAATACAAATCTAAGAACTTATAAATAACCGTGCGCTTACGTTATATGACACATTAATATTCTTTCAAAAAGTTACGATAAAAGGAAACGTTTATATTGAACGTAACCTTTACATATATCAGCATGCTACGTAGGTTGGGATACGTACTTTGTACATTTGTATAGCAGATGTTTTGTACTATTTATTACAATACATTTTAGTACTTATTCGTTTTAGGAATTACAAGAGGTTCGTTACAAAAAATACTATCATTTAATGACCATTTCAATTTTAAAAATACATTGAAAACTTTTAATTTTTTGTAAAGAATGTAACTCTACACACGACTAGACGTACAGATAAGACAATATAGTCAGAAAACGCTCCCACTTACTCTAATAAACGTTTACTTTCTAGGGAAGGAATGTCTTTCGCACAACATACAAAGCATTACATTGTTAAATGCATTAATCTAGTACCATGTACTTAAAAAAAATGTACAATATCGTAATTATTGCAAAGAGAAGCTTCCATGTGGTTTTCTTAAGAGATCGGCTTTGATTATTGGATTAACGTGGCTATTTGCATCAATGCTCACAGTAAGATCCTATTGAGGAAGACTGAAAATATGAAGATATATAACTTAAATTATTGAACCAATTCCGTATTAATATCTATCCAGTCCATACAAATTGAAGCTGAACGTTGATAGATCAAAGTGTATGGAGTTTAATTTTAATTTTTGCTTTAGGAGTTGGTCCCATATTAAAAGTTGATACATTTTCGTAAATTAGAAATTATATTCTTAAATGAGTAATGCATGTTTCATGCTCTATTGTGTTTAGTAGTGATCCAAAGAAAGTATAGTCAGTAATTGCCGTAAAAAGGATTTGAGAATTCAGACTCCCGGGTTTTATTTAAACGTTAACTGTATGCCGTGTGCACGATGGCGGCTAGTGGGACTTGTTGTACGTGTCCTTGTGCTGGTACCCAGACACGTAGCCCGAGGCATCGACCAGGTCCTTCCTGCCAGCGATGCCCTTGCCTTTGCCGGTCTCGTCGAACCTCTGCTTGTGGGAGCCCGTGTACTTGCTGGTGTCTGTCAACCGGTCAACTGCTGCTGCGGCCGCTGGCGACTTGGTCACCTAAAATTTCGAAATTAAAGATGAAAAATACGAAGTAGGTTCACTTCACTTTAAGAC